ATTCCCTTTTTTTTATGAGAGAAAGATTGATTTTAATTCAAGTTAGGGGGAGGAGGGAAGAGGAACACGGGAAGAGGGAAAAGGGAAGGGGGATATTTTTAAGTACTTATTCGTTAATTTACTTATTAAAAAAAAAGAAGACATTCCAAAATGTTAAATAGGTCATTATTTCTGGATGATTTCAGCTTACGTAATTCTCATTTTCCTTACATATTTATGTATTTTACGAAATGTATTCAATCACTATATGTTACGTATAGAAGTGTGGGAGGAAAGATCCTTGGTGAGTGTTTACTCTCAAGTTCTAACAAGCCAGTTCTTCCAGTCCCTATAGAACTAATTGCGTTCTATAACTCTGCTTCAGGCCAGTGGGTTATAACAGTGAAGTCAACCCAGTTTGGGCGTGGGTCTTCTGCTCTTCAAGGAGAGAAGTGAAATGTCTCCACCTCCCTTGAGGCTGAAGTAAGTGAATTTCTACTCAGGTTCTTCACTTTTCAAGCTGTTTGGCTACTCAAACTCCCCTAGATGGGGGACAGTTGTCCCCTCCCAAAGCCTTTGTTCTCCATCATCTTCCTGGACCAGGCAGACAGAGAGAAAGCATACGCAGTGTGTCATCTCTGGGTCTTCCCATGGGGGCAGGGTGCCCACACACCCCCACACACCATCACCGAAATATAACAGACCAGTGTGTTCTGGGCATGAACCTCAGGTCTGGAGAGAGTGCGTGATCAAAGTTCTCCACCTTCTCCAATGCTACACACTTCCACCTTTATGTGCTTAAGGAAACCAGAGCACGTGAGTGAAAAAATGGTATAGTGAATACTTAGTGATCGTGAATCCAGGTCTTTTTGAGGTAATTAACTACCTTACACTGCACTAAGTCAGTGTTAGAGAACTTGAATTTCAACACACGTAGATGTGTTCATCTTCACTAGCAGATGCTCACTGGGTACCTACTCTGCACCCACAAAGTCAGGGGTATAAAGAAATGACTGCAGTTTGCAACTTTCCTGCCCTGAGGAAATTAAAATCAAGAGAAAGTTCCATCACCACAGGTAACAATCCAGCTTACCCTCGGTAGAATAATAGATCTTGAGGACTTCCAGCTTTGTATTTCAAACCTCCCTGGGCTCCAAATAAACAGAATGGCCAGAATAATTTTAGTTTCATTGTGCAAAATTAACATCTAAAAAAATTATTATGTTCGTCCCAGATCTCAATGTTGTAAGAGAGTGTCATTTAATGAATGCAGTTATTTAGAGACACAAATCAGCCCTTACTTTTCTTTTTTTATAAGGATGTTGGGTTTAGTGATATCATCAGCTTCACCAGCCTCTAATGGTAGGGAACAGAAGATTGATCCAATTTCCCCAAATCTTTCGTGTAGTAAGTTTTTATGCAAGTGGAAAACTTAATGCTAACAGAAACAAATTTGACCACACTTTTAAAATCACAGGATAATTGCTAATTCTGTGGTCATTCATTCTCATGCCATGTTCTCCAGCACAGGAAACTATGAGAAATGTAACCACTGGTAAAATTAAACCTGCAATTATAGCACCAATTTCTAGGATATGTTGATGTTGCTCTATTTTGCAACATGTACGCAAATATATAAAATTTTCTCATTTATTTTTCACATGTTGACCTTGTAAATCCAGAGTTTGTCACGTAAGGATGATTTGAATGAATTTAAGACAATTTCTGATCTTGCTTCTGGTCTTCCTTGTAGTTAATTGTCTAAATGGTCGCCTAATATAAGGGTGATAAAACACCTGGTGTATGAATACAACCTACTTGAAAACACTGTTCAGAAAAAAGAAACAAACACGTAGAAAACTATGCGGCATCCCAGTCTGCCATCCTTCTATCCATCTAGTGTTTATATCAACCTCTGCGTTGGCAATGAATTTTCATCACACTTCTTATCTTTACTAATACCCACCATCTACTTCAGAACTTTTTCTAGGTGTGCTTTGTGTCTCTCATCCACTACCCTCAGCGTTTCACAGTCCCTGGGGCAGAGTATCCAGGGTTTCACTAGACTCTAACCTAGAACCGTTCAAATAGCTCCCAGGTTTTCCTCATTGGTTGAGACCTTCTCTGACCACAATCTTCATTCCATCACTGTTATCTGCATAATCATGTTTTGATCTTTTTCCTCTTCCACACCTTTAGCGAACTGTTACCTGAATATATTTTGTCCAGTTCCTCATATGTATTATACACCTTTCTGGATCAGTGTTGTCAGTCTTTTTTTATTTTTTTTTTTT